GTCGAGGCTGTGGTAGCCGGGAGCAGCCACTGCATTCCAGTCTGGGTGACAGAGTGAGACTCCAACTCAAAAAAAAAAAAAAAGAAAAGGAAGCCAGGCTAGGCAACTGGACACTGGCTGCCTCTTCAAAAGCATTTTGTTCAGGACACACAGTTTTCATTTGGAGTCAAGTACACTTGGTTTTCTCTCCATGCCCCATGCCATTGTCCATTATTGCCATTCCGCTAGGAATGTGAGGCTAAAATAACAAAGTGCTGGAGACAGGCTTCATTTTGAATCCTACATCATGACTCCACATGCAAAGATTCTAAGAGCTTCAGTTTCCTTGTAGGTATGATAGTAGCTAATTCAGAGAGTTAAATTACAATAATGCATGTCAAGCACATTGTAAGGATTCAATAAACATCAATTATTATAACAACAGTAATTTTTCCCTGAAAATCACAGAAGATCTGTATGAGAGAAAGTACCACATCTTATATCTTCATAGAAGTCTGTGTTCTTATTTTTTATTTTTTTATTTTTTGAGTTGGAGTCTCACTCAGTCGCCCAGATTGGAGTGCAGTGGCCGCTCCCGGCCACCGCAGCCTCGACCTGCTGGGCTCTGGCGATCCTTCCACCTCAGCCTTCCGAGTAGCTGGAATTACAGGCACGTGCTACCACGCCCGGCTGATTTTTTGATTTTTTGTAGAGATGAGGTCTCGCTGCCCAGGCGGGTCTCGAACCCGCGGGCTCAGGCAATCCACTCACCTCAGCCTCCCAAAGGCACGGGATTACAGGCTGAGCCACTGAGCCCGGCTGAAGTCTGTGTTCTTAAGCGGCTCCCCTGGGGACTGCATAGTGGGCAACATAAGGGTGGGGGACCTGCAGTTCTACTATACCATGCTGAGAAGAAGAATCTGGGTAACCAGCTCACCATGAAGAAGTAAGGGTGATCAAGCTGACTCAGGCGTGGAATGTTGTCAGTGGTTACTGAGTTAATCCTGGAGCACCAGGCCAGAGAGTAAAGCCAAGGCTCATTGACGACATATAAGTTGATGTTGATGTTAGCTGCTTTATACGCTCTGTAACAAAAACAGAACCCACAAGAGACTTAGACCCAGTTTCACTCTTATCATCTAAAAGGGGAATAGCTACCATGTTTGGGAAAGGCTGTTGCCTAAATCACTAGAAGCAGCTGGTCTGGGAACAACTCCTGATATGACATGACAGAATGGTCTCGTGGTGCAATAAGATAATGGACTGGATTTATCAGTACCTCTGTTTCTGTAGCAACAGTGGTATGCCGGTAAACATGTCCTAAGGAGAATATTGAAAGGGAAGGAAAGAAGGAAGGAAGGAAGGAAGAAAGGAAGGAAGGAAGGAAGGAGGGAAGGAGGGAGGGAGGGAGGGAGGAAATAAAAGAGAAAAGAAAGAAAATGGAAAAAACCCATAGTATAAATACTCCTGCCATAGCCAACTGTAAGCTACCACTGATAAAATCAATTCGTATAGTTTCTGAATATTTAATAACTGGCTTCCACAAGCTGGTATGAGCCAGCCCTAGCACACTGTTGTGTAGTAGTACCTAACACATTGTTGTGTAGCAGTACCTTGCTTCCATCAGAGCACTTACCCCCTACTCTAATGATCTGCTCACCTATCAGTCTTCTTTACTTGACTATAGGCAAGTTAAAATCAGAGACTGTATCTCATTTGTCTCTATATGAGAAAGGGACCCCAAAAAAACTGGAATTAACTTTTGGAGGGCAAGCCCCTTGTAGTGCAGGCTTCTCCTGCTAGGTAAGTGTTCTAGGAACTCATCCTACATCAGTGTACCAGCCAGCATTGTTAAGAGGCTGCATTAGGCTTCAATGAATTTTTTTGGAGTCTTTCAACATGCTTGCCATTTCATGATGGCTGATTTACATGAACAATCTGCCCACACCACATTGAGTGTTCAACAGTTTTTGACCAAAAACGGTGTGAACCCCATGCCCCACCCTCCCTATTCACCCAATCTTGCCCGGAGTGACTTTTTTTGTTTCCCCAGATGAAAAAGTTCTCAAAGGGAAATGTTTTGCTGACATGAAAGTGGTGAAACAAAAAAAACGGCAGAACTACTAAAAGGCATCAAAATTGATGAGTTTAGAAACTGTTTTGAGCAGTGGAAAAAGTGTCTTGATGGGTATACTGCATCAAATGGAGAGTACTTTGCAGATGATTGAAGTTTAAGCATGTAAGAACACACTTTTTTAAATAAATAATTTCTGGGTTTTTTGCCTGGCTCCACAAGAATTAACTGAAAGAAAGTAAACAAACAAATGAATGCCAATGTGACTAACATTTAAAATTTCAAATAAAGAATTTTTACAAGTATTGAGTAGGGGGAACGTAAGTGCCATCAAAAATTATTTTCAATTCTGAAATGTTATGGCATATTGGAAACTACTCTGTACAAGCCTTATTTGAATCCCAGTTCTGCCATATACTAGTTTGGCAAGTTCTTAGCCTCAGTGTATAAACTGTAAAATAAAAAATATCTTGGTTAGGAGATGACTAGCTAGAAGAAGCTGGCTTGTGCTCCTTCATGAAACAAACCAAAATAGAGAAATACCCTTTGCACTTAGTGCAGGACAAGAGTGAGAGCACACCCATGACCCATCAGAGAAGCAGTAGGACCCACAGAGTGTAACAAGAAACTGGGCATCCTGTGTTGGAACCAGGCAGCCCCCCCACTCCTGTCTGGGTCACCAGCAGGAATAGGGAGCAGCCTCTGGACACAGGGGAAGAGCACCCCCCAGGACCATCCTGAATTGTGGCAGCCCCATAGTGATACACTTCCCCTTTCCTTGGAAGTGGTGATCCAAGAGGGCCTGATGCTCTTCTGGATCCCTGCCTACACAGAATGTCAACATTCCTACAGAGGGAAAGAGGAGCATTTCTGATCTGAAAATTCTGAACAACAGGACAGGGCAAAATGGACAAGCAGAATGCTTTCCTACAAGCCTCCTAGTGGGGCTAAGGTGGATCACACTAGCCCTGGCAAAGACGTTAGTGCATATCACTGGAAGATTTCCCAACCATCACCTTTAGCTCTTAGACTATAGCCCACCACAGGGGTATTGCATATAGCCATTTGCCTCAGCAGCAACCCACAGGTGTCTCCTCATGACCTGATGGTTGAACAGTTCAACCCAGAGAAAGAATACTGGGGGGGGGGGGGGGGGAAGGAGCACACCACACCACCGGGGAACACGATAAGCTTCATGAGCCCTCTGACATTCTAGCCCGAGAGGAGATAGTGAACCTACACACACACTCAAAAATTGCTATTACAAGTAACATATGAGAAAGCCAACACACAAAGATTCTTTATAACCAAGAAACTCATACAGAGCCTATACCACTGAAAGCACCCAGATCCGAAGCTAAGAAAGTATTACGTATACACATTAAAGTCACTTTCCTAAGGGGAAAAACCTGAATCAAAAACAAATTCAACACCAATAAGAAGAAACAGTATACCCAAATTAGAAGAAATCAGAAAAATAATCCTGGCAATATGAAAAACAGAGTTTTTCGACTCCTCTAAAAGATTACTCTAACTCTTCAGCAATGGATCCTAACCAAAATGAAATGTTTGAAATTTCGAGTTAGAATTCAAAAGGTTGATTATAAAATTGCTCAAAGAAGAAAGTTGAAAACTAACATAAATTTCAAAAATTTACTCAGGACATAAATGAAAAATTATCCAAAGAGATGGACACTTTAAAAAAAACAAACTGAATTTCTGGAAATAAAAGATGCATTTAGGGAAGTACAAAATGCAATGGAAAGTTTTAACGGTAGACTAGAACAAGTAAAAGAAAATATTTCAGAATTTGAAGATAGAGCTTTTGAATTTGTCCAATCAGACAACAATAGAGGAAGATGAATTCAAGAAAATGGAACAAACTCTCTAGGAAATGTGGGATTATGTAAAATGCCCAAACCTAAGAATCATAGATATTCCTGAGGAAGAAGAGAAAGCAATAAGTTTGGAAAACCCATTTGAAGGAATAATTGAGGAAAGTTTCCCTGGCCTTGCCAGAGATTTAAACATGCAGATACCAGAAGCCCAAAGAACCTCTGGAAGATTCACTGCAAGAAGGTCATCCCCAAGGCATATAGTAGGCTATACATTAGGTTAGTCAAAGTCAATGACAAGGAAAAAATTCCAAGAGCAGTGATACAAAAGCATCAAATAATTTATAAAGGTAAACCAATCAGACCAACAGCATACTTCTCAGAAACCCTACAAGCCAGAAGGGATTGGAGACCTATCTTTAATTTCCTCAAACAGAATAGCTATCAGTCAAGGATTTTGTATCCCACAAAACTAAGTTTCATAAATGAAGGAGAACTATATCTCTCTTAGAAAGCAAATGCTGAGGGAATTTGTCACCACTAGACCAGCTCTATAAGAAATGCTCAAAGGAGTTCTAGACACTGAAACAAAAGATCAAAATGCACCAGTAGAAAAACACTAGAAATTATAAAATTATAGAGCTTAAAAAATATCAACACAACAGAAGTGAAAAAAAATAGCAATCAGGTAACAATCAGCATTATAAATAAAACAGTATCTCACATATCAGTACTAACTTTGAATGCAAATGGTATGAATACCCCACTTAAAATATACAGATTGGCAGAATGAATTAAAAAACACAATCCAAACATTTGCTGCCTTCAAGAGACTCACTTAACTCATAAAGACTCCTATAAGCTCAAAGCAAAGGAATGGAAAAAATATTACATGCAAATGGAAACCAAAAACAAGCCAGAGCTGATATTCTTATATCAGATAAAGCAGAAGTTAAATTAACAACAGTGAAAAAAAAGACAAAGAAGGTCATTATATAATGACAAAGGGATCAATCCAACAAGAAGATATAACAATTTAAAAAACATATATGCCCCTAACACCAGAGCTCCCAGTATTATAAAACAAATTCAATTAGAAAAAGGAAAGACATAGACAGCAATACAACTGGTGGGGGGGAGCTTCAACACTGCACTAAAAGTGATACACAGATATCAGGCAGAAAGTCACCAAAGAAGCACTGGACATAAACTGGACGCTAGAACAAATGGACCTAGCACACATCTACAGAACATTCTACCCCAAAACTACAGCATAGGTATTTTTCTCACCAGCACATGGAACATTCTCCAAAACAGACCATATAACAGGCCATAAAACAAGGCTCAACAAGTTCAAAAAAATCAGAATCATATCAAACACATTCTGAGATCACAGTGGAATAAAACTAGAAATCAACACCAAAAGGAATTCTCAAAACTGAACAAATACATAGAAATACATAGAAATACATAGAAATACAAATACATAGAAATTAAACAATATGCTCTTCAATAATCTTTGGGTCTACAATGAAATCAAGTTAGAAATTTAAAAATTCCTCAAAATGAATGAAAACAATGACATGAGTTATCAAAATCTCTGGGATACAGTCAAAGATGTGCTCAGAGGAAAATTTATAGTGCTTAAGGCCTACATTGAAAAGGCTGAAAGACCACATACTGACAACCTACATAACATTCAAGGAACTAGAAAACAGGAACAAACCAAATCTAAATATAGCAGAAGAGAAATAACAAACAGAGCAGAACTAAGCTAAATTGAAACAAACAAAACACAAAGGATCAATTAAACAAAAACTTGGTTCTTTGAAAAGATAAACAAAATTGATAGCTAGACTAATTAAGAAAAGAAGAGATAAGATTCAAATGAGCTCAGTCAGAAGTGAAATGGAGACATTAGAAATGATACCATGGAAGTACAATAATAATCTGAGATTATTAAAAATACCTTTATGCAAACAAACTAGACAATCTAGAGGAAACAGAAAAATTCCTGGAAACATACAACCACTCCAACCGTGAATCAGGAAGAAACAGAAATCCTAAACAGAGTAATAACAAGTAGTGAGATTGACACTCCAACATGAACCAGGAAGACACAGCAACCCTAAACAAACCAATAGCAAGTGGTGAGGCTGAATCAGTAATCAAAATA